GGGGGGGGGGGGGGTCCACTCCCACACACGTCCACAGAGATAGAGAAATTCAAATTTCAAGGAATATTTTTATGTATGACCAAGAGAATAAAAAACTTTTTGAGACTAATTTGTGCACATCACTTATCATATCAACATTCTCAGTTTTAAGAAAATTGATTTAAACTGGGAAAATTTTGTTGATTTTTAGGGATATTTTTAAAGAAATAGTTTTTTAAAGAAATTTCAAAACTTTCTGCCAAACCAAATTGTAAATCCTTCTAGCAATCAAAATATTGTCGTCGTTCCCAGGATCCACGGCATCCACCACTATTTCCAGGTCTGATTAACATTGTGAGATACGCGTGCACGCGACCGGCGGCTGTCCTGCCGTTTATGTCTCGGAATTCTACAATAGAAACTGATCTGAAATTTTAAGCGATTCTCCGATTCGAGTTGATGTGTTCAATTCTTTACCTTGACAGATTACAAAAGTAGAACCCAGTATTGAAATCTTCACGCTCAAATTAATCTATACACCGAAAATTTCATGTCGTTTGGACAGTCAGGTCGGAATTACAACGTTTTGAAAATTCAGTTTTTCGTATATGTTTGACTGGAATGTGCTGTTGCAGGGAAATTGTTTCAAAAATGGCATTAGAAAGTTGGCTGGTAGTGTACACACCTCCTCATCCTGATATGTGATATAAGCACTTGCACTTGGCCCCTACAGAATATTATAACATCATTAAATTTTGAAGAATCATGCACAGTCTATTCCAGGCAACTAATCTGTATTTAATCAGGGTGTGTATTTTCTGTCGTTCCAATTGAAGTGTTGCTCAAATATTGATTCAATACATTACCTCGGGCTGACCAATTCATTTGATCAAGTTCCTCGAGATATTCACACACTTCCTAGTATAATTGTAAACTTCCTGTTGAATAGTTTGAATGCACCAATCACCTTTGTTGTTTGTGCAACTAACCAATCATAAATAGAAAGGAAGTGACCAGAAATGATCAAATACTTGGAATTGGCTCTTTCACAGGAAGTGTATGAATATCTCGAGGAACTTGATCAAATGAATTGGTCAGCCCGAGGTAATGTATTGAATCAATATTTGAGCAACACTTCAATTGGAACGACAGTAATACTTCGCGATTTTTAGTCGTTCCTGACTGGTACTCATTAGACTATTGCCTCGTACTTGAGCTGGTACCCACTTAAGAATCAAGGTGTACTTAGTCTTTGAAATGATGTACATAAAGTACAGGTTTCTGAAAGGGATTCATTCAGTAATCTGAAACTACAAGTTAGAACTAATTTTAAAACTAGGCAAGGAGATGCAAATAAATCACCAGTCTACACCACAGCTAGAAAGAGCATACTAAAATGAGCAAAATTGCAAAGTTTGGTCGCGAAATGTTGTAAAACACGGAAAATATAGCCTTGCAAAGTTTGCATACTTTTGTATCGCGTGCGGAAAAAAACCCATTTTCGGCCCAGATGTGGTAGCAATTTCCGCATGCAATACAAAAGTCTACTAAATTTGCGAACTTTGCAAGGCTATATTTTCCGCATTTTACAACATTTCGCAACCAGACTTTGCAATTTTACTCATTTTAGTATGCTCTTTCCGAGAATATAATTAGTCTATAATGGGAATTGTCTATTACATACACAAAACACTAGAATTGGCTCCAACATTCCATTAGCCCAGTCATGTCTCATGACAAGACATGTCAGACGTACCTATATACCTTTACGTATACGGTTTTGAATACCTTAGGATTGGTAAGGTCCTATGGTACCAGCAAAATACAAGTACGCAGATAGCGAGATTACCGCGTACCTACGTGGTACTTGGTTACGCGATTTATCGCACCCTGCAAATTTAACTGTACATTGATTTACTAAATAACAAAGTTACCTGTGGGCCAGCGTAATTTGTGCTGGAATTGATTGCAATTTTATGAATTTTTCCAAACTTCCCAAAATATTCTTGTGAAGATAGAAGCTGTGGAAATATACAATAAACTATAAATTTTGTACCTTCATTTACACCCAACCAGGAGCAGTTTTGAAAAATGCAACTCTAGGCTCACTGGCAGGAATTGAAGCTGCGGCCCTGCGATTCCGGTGCAGCGCTCTAACCAACTGAGCTACAGAGTCCAGTTGTCGAGCTCTAACCACAAGTTCATATAAAGTTTGTTTATTACTTAATTTTGTGAAGATTACTGTGACAACTATATAATAATTCAATTTCCTTCGCTGGTTCACAGTAGTGTTTGATAATTGAAATGAAATTGTTCTGATTATACTAATTCAGGCTTGGCCATATATAGTGTATGTCCTTTATAGGCATGTGGGACATTAATTTATTGGTTTAGTTTATTCAGTTTCTCATTCATTGGTGGGCGGATTTCCCGATAGGCTATTGCGCAATTGGTAGGGGATCCGAGGTACCTACGATTTAACATCCTTATCCGAGAAGACGTGAAAGTCCAACCATTTACTGATGTCAATGTAAAGGTAGCTCTTTCTCCTCAATTATTTTAAGACCTTCAGTAGAGGTCCAACCAAGGATTGAACCCAGGTCTCCCAGCTTGAAAGGCAAGCGTGGTGAACACGACACCACATGTGCTGGTTTTTAACTAGCCGCCAGCCATTCCATTGTGACTAGGGTTGGGCGATATTTCGATATTTTGATTTATCGCGATATTTTCAATCGCGATTATCGTATCGAAGGTAGAAACTTAAGCGACGATATATCGAAATTATCGTCATGCTCGATGACTATCGTGATATTGCTTCGCATGTGTATATAGCTTTTATAAAATCCTAAAAAATTATTTCAATTCCTAGAAAATATAGTTTTTAAAAGAATTACAACTATTTCCTGAATTAAATA